CACTTTTACATTTCCCCAAATTAAATCAAATTTGACCTACCAGAAGAAAGGAAGAAGTAAGTTGCCATCAGAGAACAGGCATGAGGAGAATTTCAATCCCTCTGATACGGAAGGAAAGACTAGGAAAGCTCTTCAGTGAGCGTCAGAGGCTGGGTTTCATTGTGGCTTTAGAACATCTCTGTTCCTAATTCTCTCAACTGTAAACGAGAGTGTTCATGTGAAGAGCAAAGAACACTTTCCAAACATTTAGGATGAGAAGCATACTGAACCATTTTATCAAGCCAATAGAGAAGGGAAAGCAATAAAGGAAAAAGCCAAGTGAACACCAGACACTTCCCGGGATGATGTAACATTAATGCAAATAACACTGCACGCAGAGAAAAATAGGAATGGAGTGTTTCTTAAAAGTAATCATTGGTGCATTTGACACTATGTCATCTTTGGAATCAGCAATGCTGTATGATGTTGTGGGTATAGGTAACATACAATTGTCAAACTTTGATTTCCATTAAAGCCAAAGGAGAGGATATATATAGTAAAATATTTTAAAAGACAATCCACATATAAGATGGATGTCAGAAAACCAAAGAATGATGAAAACCTGTGAAGATAATGTGTAGACATTCTTCCCGATTATGAACACAACATGTCGTTGTAATTTAGAACACTGGCAATGAATTCTTTTGTGGATCAAATGATTTGTTCTCCATGATCAGCCTAAAGGTTAGTGGTTCAAATACACCCCCAATGCCATGAGAACAACACCTAATGATCTACTTTTATAAAGATGAAGACAAAGAGAGCTCCAAGAAGAAGTTCTATTCTGTAACACTCAGGCATCAGAATCAACTTGACAACAACATTTTCTGTGTGTGTATGTGGTTAATTTTTCTTTTTCAATACGGTTCTATTATTTTTTGGTGGTGATATAAATATCCCGTATCAAGGTATTGATCGCACTGTACTTGAATAAAAACGCAGTATACTGGACGGCTTCTGCAAAACAACCACTTGCCACTGAACGGATTCTGACTCATGACAACACCATCTTTGTCAGAGTAGAACTTTGCTCCATGGTGTTTTCAAAGATAGACTTTGGGGAATTACGTCACCAGGCCCTTGTTCTGAAGTGTCTCGGGGTGGACTGCAGCGTTTTGGTTGGCAGCCAAGTGCGTTAACGGTTTGCCCACCGTAGGACTACAAATGCTTCTCAATGTCTTTTAGTTAAAATGCTTTTTTTTTTTCTTTCTTTCTTTTTTTTTTTTGGCTTAAAACAACACTATTCCTTATTCCATATGTCTCCCTCAAAGATGATGCTAACATATATGGCTCCTTCTATGGATGTGTTGACTTGTCCTTGCCATTCTAACATTCTTTTGCCCAGTGTTTCTTAAGAGAGTGTGTACAAAAAGTTGTGAATACCATGAAAGCAATGAGGGCAGTTCTGAAAAGGTAGTGGTTAGGTTGGCTATAACTAAGTATCACTGTTGAAGGTACTGGGGTATTCGGATCTCAAGTGTGAAGACTGTGAATTTCAAAGTTTTACTTGAGAATTTCTTGAATTAAAAACAGAGACACAGTGATGGGTGCCTATTTTATTTACTAACCCTCTTTTCTTTTTCTCAAAAGATTACTTAGGTACATGGAGCCAAAGAATCTAAGCGACATCTCAGAATTTTTCCTCATGGGCCTTTCTGAGGATCAAGAGCTGCAGCCCCTTGTCTTTGGGCTGTTCCTGTCCATGTACCTGATCACGGTGGCTGGGAACCTACTCATCATCCTGGCTGTCAGCTCTGACACACGCCTGCACACCCCCATGTACTTCTTCCTCTCCAACTTGTCCTTGGCTGACATTGGTTTCATCTCTACCACAGTCCCCAAGATGGTGGTGAACATCCAGACACAGAGCAAAGCCATCACTTATGTGGGCTGCCTGCTGCAGGTGTCATTTTTTTCACTCTTTGGATGTCTGGATACTCTGTTGTTTACTGTGATGGCCTTTGACCGGCTTGTGGCTATCTGTCACCCTTTGTACTACACTATCATCATGAACCCTCGCCTCTGTGGTTTGGCAGTTTTGGTGTCCTTTTCCTTGAGCCTTTTGGAGTCCCAGCTGCACATTTCAATGGTGTCACAACTTACATTCTGCACAAATGTGGAAGTCCCTAGTTTCTTCTGTGACCCTCCTCAACTCCTTAACCTTGCCTGTTCTGACACCTCCACTAATGTCATACTAATATATTGCATCAGTGCTGTCTTTGGTGGTGTTCCAGTCTCAGTGATCCTTTTCTCTTACTCTCGAATTGTTTCCTCAATTCTGAGAGTCTCGTTTTCAGGTCAGAAGTACAAAGCCTTTTCTACCTGTGGCTCTCACCTCTCAGTTGTTTGCTTATTTTATGGAACAGGCTTTGTAGCATACCTCAGTTCAGCTCTCCCATCTTCTGCCAGGAAGAGTGCAGTGCCCTCAGCGATGTACACAGTGGTCACCCCAATGCTGAATCCCTTTATCTACACCCTGAGGAACAGGGACATCAAGCGAGCCTTGTCGAAGCTTATTAGCAGAACAGTCTTATCTGAATATTAGCGATTTTATTTTTTTTGTGTGTGTGTATGTTAAGAATGATGGTCAATCCTAACATCTGCAACCAGACATCTTGAATTGTTGGTTCCATAATTTCTTTAGCTCTCATAGGTTTCAATCCTGAGTTGTCAAATTTGAACATTGCTTCTTTTGTCACATCTTTAATGGGTTAGTGGGAATGTTTTGGGATATGTCAATCTGCGTGAGCATCCCATTGAAACTATGTAGCCTTCTGTAGCTTCTTATCTATGACCAAGGCTTTGTAGTAAAATGCACAACTTTATTTTTATGTCTTTAGAATAGTAATCTTTGCCATAATCTGTACCTGTAAAGTGGACTGCTTTTCTACTAAGCAAACTGTATATGCCAGTTATGTGTGAGAAATCATGTCACTGATCCTGAACATTGACCTCTGTTTGAACCATCTGGAAGCTTAAAGAAAAGATATCTTGGCCCACCAGTATAGATTCTCATTTAAGTGGAACAATAAGTGGATTGATCATAAGGTTTATAAATTATACAGGATTAAATTGTGGCTTAGGTGAGAACTACTCATCTTTTTAGACATTTTGTTGAAAGGTGACTAGTTCTTTTCATAGGTGTTATGTATCTCTGGAGCAGATGCAAAGATCTCAAAGTGATTAGAGTCTTCAGGGGAAAATATATGAAAGTAACTAACCTGGGAACAGGTGAGTGATTTTTTCCGATATCCTGGATATTGATGATATTTCTTCTCATATGGTCTCCATCTACTTCACTGTGGTGTTAGCTGCTCTTGACTGGATCCCAGACACAAGGTGACCCCAAATACAACAGAGGAAAATGCGGACCCATCTTGCCCCATCCCTATGTTCTATTGGGATCAGACCATCATGGCCCCGCAGTGTTTCATTGGTTGGGTTTTGGAGTTAGATCACCAGGCCTTTCCTACTAGTCCAACTTAGTCTGGAATCTCTCCAGAAACCTGGCCAACATTTTTAGCAACAAGCCATCCTTTCATTCCAGATGTTGGCTACAGATGAAGGACATTGTTTGGTACTCAATACTGGTCTTCCACACTGAAGGGGGAAATTCTTCCCATGAAGAACTGATGCCTGGCCCTTGCATACCATGAATTTGGCCATATGCACTAGTTGATAAGCTGTTGTCTCCCTTCCCAAAATCCAGTCTTATTTTGTGATACTAGGGCTGGAAAGGGGAGGATCTTTAAACCACTCTTCCGATTTCCCATCTGGCTTTAGTTTTAAGTTCTTCTAATAGTGACCCGTGGATTTAATGATAACAATAATGATCAGATGGCTACACCCTAATAAACTCATGTAAAAGCCTGATTAAGACTTTACTGTGTTATCTATCATGTTTCCTCATCTTTGGGCTCCTTCTCTGATGGAACACCTGGGTGTGCATGCATCCTTTAGACAGATTGAAATGATTTCTTATGGAACAATTTTGGGTTTCTGAAAAACCAACTTAATGAGTAACTTAAATCATTCTGTCTTTTTCCCTTCAGTTAAATCATCCACGTACTTTCCAGAGGAGAAAACTTGACACTGGAGAAGAGAATGTACCT